TTTTCACTCGAGAACAGAATGTGGGAGTTTTCGGCCATATTTCTCACCTGGTGACACATTCATTCTTGAAATCCACTTCATCACAACTGTCTCTGTGCATTAGAACAGTAGGCACAGCCCAGCTGGCCACTGGATGTGGATACAGGAGCTCCTGGAAATACTTTCTCTGTTTGATTGGCTCATGGACTCATGAGTGTATTCATGGAGGCAGGAAGGAATATACAGTATTGCCTACAAACATTTTCTGAGTAGACTTTCCTAGCTTTCTTATCTTTGGCAAATTTTCTTTTACAAGATAACAGAAAAGTTTTAAAGACTAGAGTTTAAAAGAAGCCATCAGTATTTACAAAGATGTTTTCTTTGTAACACAGTAATTTATTTCCCCAGGAGAAATCAATTTAGGAGGAAACGATTATATATACTAAGGCACTGAGAAAGCTGGTTAGTTTCAAGGTATTAATTAACAGACCACTGATATTTTTTGAACACTCAGAGCTTGTCAGGCATTGCTTTAGGTGATACAATAATGAATAAAATCTTTCCCTGTGGAGCTTTAATTTTAGTGAAAAAGACAATAGAAAACAATAAATATATAGTATAATGTTAAGTGGTAAATAAAATCTTATGAAAAATAATGCAGAATGAAGGTTAAAGAGCAACAAGAACTGCCAGGAAGATCTCCTTGAAGAAGTGACATTTGTGCTAAGGAGCATGAGCAAAGACAAGGAAAGAACTTGGCTTCTCTGAGGAATAGTCATGAGGCCAGTGTGGCTATTAGGAAACAAACAAACAAAACAAAACTTAAATGTGGTAGAAAGCTCCCGGAACTTGCTGAGATTCCTATCATACATCAGAGTGACGATGTCGAAGTGACATGTGAGTTGGGTATGTGAGTCTGAAGTGCAAGCTGGTGCCGGAGCCCCACATTTGAGAGTCATTGTACAATAGATGGTGTTCAAATCCACAAGGCTGAATGAGATCACTGAGTTACGGAAAACAGAGAGATGTCTGAGGACCAAGGCTTGAAGAGGCATGTCAACTCTTCAAGGACAGTAAAAGGAAAGCAGCAAAGGGCATTGAAAATAATCAATTAGTGAGATAGGAGCACAGTCAGGAAGACATAGCAGTCCAATCAGGGAAGTGTTTCCAAGAGGACAGAATGATCACGTCAAATTCTATTGAGAGAAACAGTAAGATGAGTGCAATAACTGCCCATCAGCTTTCCCAAGTTGAAAGTCACTGGAAACATTAAAAGAGAAGATACGTAAGGATGGTAGAATGCAAGTCTGATGGAAGTGACTTGAGGAGGCTATGTGAGGGGACGGTATGTACAGAAAACTCTTTCCAGGAGTTGGGTTTCTACATTGCTCAGATGACATGACACAGCTGCTTCTTATATTTGAGCAATGATCGTGGTCTCGGACACTTATTCAGGGGGAATGTACTAGAGAATGACGATGCTGGAAGGGGAATTAGGAACCATATCCTTCAGTGCTTGTTAAAAGGAGTTTCAACAGAATCCGTAGAGCTGCCCCTCAAGACAGGATTGGATCGGTTCACACAGTCACTTTGGGCATGCTAGTATTTTAGTTCCTTTTCACAATGATATTTAAAAAATTTTTTGTTTAAATTTACTTGGAGAAGAAACCAAGCCCCGATCTGTGTGTGGGAGGGTAGATGACTAATGGTCATTATCAACCTTTCTATTTGGAAGCGAGCAGTCTAGCACCGACCTGGTGTTCCTCCCTCAGATGCAAAATGTCTCAATTAGGCATGCTCTTTATTAAGGACTTCACTTCTTGGCGTCAGTTATTCCTTCTAAACATGGCATGTTATCCTCCCTCAGGAAAATTCTGATAGATTCATACTGAACATTAGGATATAAATTCAACTCCATGTAGCAGAGACACAAAATAGCAATGGCATATATGATGTAGTAGTTTGTTTCTCACACAAACTCTATCTATTGCCACACATCCAGGTAATGATCTGGCCTTCTAAAAGTCAGCCTAATTTTTTTCTCAAAAAGAGTGTTTCCTTGTCTTTCAGGTCATATAACAGATGAAAATACTCTTTGTTTTACTAAAAGGCATATTCATGTACTGCTTGCTTCTCAAACACAGTTGATCTTGGGTTTCCTATTATTTGAACAATCTCCATAGAAACGGTAAGATAAAATTTCAAGTGAAGACTTTCCTAGGCTAAAATGATGGGAAAATGTGGAAAACTAACATTATTTTGCTATTTTAATAGTGCTCCCTGGAACAGAACATTTTTTAAAGTCTGGGCGATGAATTGATGATTGAATTCCACAAGCAAATGCCAATATCACTAAAGTAAAAACACAAGTGTCAGAGAGACATTCTTCATCAAGGAGACTAGAATCCAGATTTGGTTTGTCAAAGCTCAGAAATAAATTCAACTCTTGCTGTGGCAGAGCTTATATAAATAATACGATGCCCCATTCTCCCTTGTGTGTGGCCATATGATTTAACTCTTTTGTTAATGTAGTAAATTAAACTTGACTTCAGCTGTTAATTCTATCTTGCATTCCCAGTATAAAACCCATTTATCATGATGTATATTTATTTTCATAAATTGTTGGATTTCTTTTGTTTTATAATATCTTGGTAATAATTTTTACATATATGTTTATGAGGGATATTGATCCTTACTTTTTATGATAATGATCAGATTTTGATATCAAATTATGCTGGTCATATGATATGGAGTATGAGTGCTCCCTCTTTCTCTCTTTTCTGAGTACAAGGTTGCCCTTAAATGTTAGAATTCACCAGTGTGGCGGGTGAATTCTTCATAAGCAAATGTTGAGATGGAGTTTGAGGGTGACCGACACCTGTGCTGGGAGAGGAACATGCATTGGTCGAAGGCAGAAGCTGAATTTCAGTGAAGGCCCGACAAGCCTTGGCTAACCCGGCAGGCAGAGAGCTCTGGAGCCAGTATTGCTCACTAGAATTTCAGGCCTAACCTTTATACCTTGCCTCGCAGGCTGCTTTGAGAAGGCCATGTCAGAGGACGGGTGGTGGGTCGCAGCTCCTGTGGGCCCGTCAATCCCAGTCTGCTCAGCATCTGAGTTCAAACCGAGGTCCCTCAGCTCCCTGGGATGGTCAGTCTCCATTAGTGTCCCGTCTCCTGCTCCACAGCCCAAAAAGAGCCGGGCTGGTTGCGGGCTCACCTCATTCACGTCCCTTCACTCAAGGATCACAGTTCTGCACTTCCCATAGGCAAAACGATTGGTTGTTTCAAATGCTTTTTCAGTTCAATAGTTGTTTTCGATAGAAGGGCTGGTTTAAGATCGATTACACCATCATGCTGGAAGAAAAAAAATCTCTTAGTTTAGCCCTTCATGGACAGTTTCATAGACATTATTTTCATTATCTTCATTAGGAATTTATTTTTGACACAGCATTATCATTTCAAGACTTATTTTTCTTAGACGACTACAATAGCTTAAAAATCTTGGAAATATAAAAGGCAGTAATAAAGCCAGATCACAGCTCTGCATGTTTTGCTAATGTAGGTCTCTTTTCAGATGCCCGCCCCTCCCCCTACCATCACAATAGTATCCCTTTTAAAGAACAAAATCATCCCTGGCTGCTGTGGCTCAGTTGGTTGGAGTGTCATTCCATACACCAAAAGGTTGGGGGTTCCATTCCCGGTCAGGGCACATACCTAGGTTGCTGGTTTGATCCCTGGTTGGGGTGTGTATGGGAGGCAACCAATCAATGTTTCTTTCTTACATTAATGTCTCCCTGTCTCTCTAAAACCAATAAACATAAAAAATAAAATAAAGTCATATAAACAAGTTTTACGGCAGGTTTCCAGACTTCTCGGCTAAAACAGGAGAGCTCCGTCGTACTGTCCTTCACAGTCCAGTTCTACCCTGGGGCCATCTCAGCAAGAGCCCTCTCCAGCCCCAGTGGCATCACCGCATAGGCCACAAGGCCCACAGGGGCCTCCGGGGCCCGCTCCTTTGTGCTACCACGATTTTTTCTGCCTCCACATTCTGGTGGTCTGGAAGGTCAGTCCCTGGAAGGTTTTGAGGTTCATGTTTTTCAAGAAAGAGTATTTTGGATAAAAATTGATTTGTTAGAATGAAATGAAGTGTCAGATGATGTACAGAAGGGAGGAGCTTTTGACGTGTTTCATTTTCATTTTTGTATGTTGCTCGATATGCAGTAGATATGCATACAGACAACAGGCACTTGGTTCTTGGTGGATGCAGAATTTCAATATTCAGTGTAACTGGTACTTTTCCTTTATTAGCAGTCAACTCATTTTCAGTCCCACATTTCCCTGTGGAAGGAACCATTGCTTTATTTTGGCACTTTTGAAATAATGGCAGACATTGTGAATGCAGGAGCAATAGCAATGGAATGGAAAAGAATTATCAGCAAGTGAGAATTCTAGTGTGGGTGTTGAAAACTAATGAAATGCTGTATTATTGAAAACTAATGAAATGCTGTGTTCTGCTTCAGAGAACTTTCGATATTCTTCTTTTTTAAATTTGACTTTATTACTTACTGTTGCAGAAATGTGAAGAATAAGAAGTCCAGAAGACATTTGTGTTCAAATGGAGTGCAATTAAAAAGTTCCAGGCAAGCATTATAAGCCCATAAACAAGAGAGCTAGCAAAAAAAAAAAAAAATCAAGAAGCAAATGCTGAGGCAAGTTATAACCTGCCAGATAGGAGAGAGGCAGTAGAGAATCAGAAAGAAAAGAAAAAACAGTTATGAGCATTAATTAGCAAATGGAAAAAGATAATTAGAGGCTCCCAAAAGACTGAATTATTAAAAATGCTACTTCAGTTTCAAAAAAGAAATTCCAGGCAGTGATGAGCTTTATAACTTACAATCAGGATTGATGAATAGAAAACAATTAGTGCCAGGATATTTCAGAAAACAAAGAAATAAATGAATCCAGGATACATTTTCTTTAAAAAAAAAAAAGCTACTGAGCATGCAGGAGTGCACAGTAATGGAAAGGGGAGAAAATGGCTGCAGTAATTGTTCAGCTACAGCAGTCGAGCTCCTGGAAATTTTTCACAAACAGAATTGCTCCTGCCAGCAGGACCATTATTCCAGCCAATGCAGAGGTAAGTAGCTGCTTCCGGCTTCAGCCCAGTCCTTTGCAGCATTATCCACTTTATTGGAGAAGTGAGACTAAATGTTGTGAGAAGACTCTGCTCACTTAAAGGTACCTGTGGTGTGCTCTCTTGAGGCACCACAGAAGTTACTGGGGCAGTTTCAGCCTCATTGGACCTTGAGTGGCTCCATGCACAGTGCCTGAAGCCACGAGGTCAGCAGTCCTCGGTCTTTTGCTTGGAGGAACAGAAATTACCCTAGTGTCACCGTGGGTGGCATAACTCTCAGCTCATTCTCTCTCCAAGCACTCCTTCTGTTGAAGCACCTGACTCTAATCAACAGAAGAGCCGCTAGGTTCCAGGTGGCCATCGCCTATTTTCTTTTAATTAAAATTTCTTTGGGAAAAAACAAGGCAATTGGGAGAAGCGAGCGAGATCTGCCTTGAGTAGTCAATGTCAAAGATAGAGACCAAACTTCATGCAGAATATATATTAGAACCAATGAAATGATGAGAGCAAATGCAGGCCATTTTTATGGTCCTCATACAATTCTACTGTAAGTCATTGATAAGAATCACTTCAAAAGAAACAGTAGATTAAACTGCTTTCATGCTCTCAAAATAGAATGAGCATTATGCAAAAAATCTCTCTTGCTACATCATTTTCATTAATTTTTTTCTTTTTAAATATATTTTATTGATTATGCTATTACAGTTGTCCCATTTTCCCCCATTATTCCCTTCTGCCCTGCACACCCACTCCCTCTGCATTCGCCCATCTTTGTTCACGTCCATGGGTCGTACATACAAGTTCTTTGGCTTCTCCATTTCCTATACTGTTGTTAACCTCCCCGTCTGTTTTGTACCTACCATTTACGCTACTTATTTCCTGTGCCTTTTCCCCCATTCCTCCTCCCCTTCTCCGCTGATAACCCTCCATGTGATCTCCATTTCTGTGATTCTGCTCCTGTTCTAGTTGTTTCTTGTTTCTAGTTAGTTCATTTTTATTTTGTTTTTAGGTTCAGTTGTTGATAGTTGTGAGTTTGTTGTCATTTTTACTGTTCATATTATAGATCTTCTTTTTCTTACATAAGTCCCTTTCACATTTCATATAATAAGGGTTTGGTGATGATGAACTCCTTTATTTTTAAAGTCGATATTTTTTCTAAAGATTTTATTTATTTATTTTTAGAGAGGGAAGGGGGGGGAGAGAGAGAGAAAGAAACATCAATGTGCGGTTGCTGGGGCCCATGGCCTGCAACCTAGGCATATGCCCTGACTGGGAATCAAACCTGTGATGCCTGGTTCACAGCCCGGGCTCAATCCACTGAGCTACACCAGCCAGGGCATGATGAACTCCTTTAACTTGACTTTATCTGGGAAGCACCTCATCTCCCCTTCCATTCTAAAGGATAGCTTTGCTGAATAGAGTCACCTTGGATGTAGGTCCTTGCCTTTCATGACTTTGAATACTTTTTTCCAGTCCCTTCTTACCTGTAAGGTTTCTTTTGAGAAAGCAGCTGATCGTCTTATGGGAACTCCTTTGTAGGCAACTGTCTCTTTTTTTCTTGCTGCTTTTAAGGTTTTCTTCTTATCTTTAATCTTGGGTAATGTAATTATGATGTGCCTTGGTGTGTACTTCCTTGGCTCCAACTGTTTTAGGACTCTCTGAGCTTCCTGGACTTCCTGGAAGTCTATTTCCTTTGCCAGATTGGGGAAGTTCTCCTTCATTATTTTTTTCAAATAAGTTTTCAATTTCTTGCTCTTTTTCTCTTTCTGGCACCCCTGTGATTCATATGTTGGAATGTTTATAGTTGTCCTGGAGGTTCCTAAGCCTCTCCTCAGTTTTCTGAATTCTTGTTTCTTCATTCTGTTCCAGTTGAATATTTATTTCTTCCTTCTGGTCCAAGCCATTGGTTTGAGTCCTGGTTTCCTTCATCTCACTGTTGGTTCCCTGTACATTTTCCTTTATTTCACTTTTCATAGCCTTCACTTTTCATCTAATTTGTGACCATATTCCACCAATTCTGTGAGCATCCTGATTATCAATGTTTTGAACTGTGCATCTGATAGGTTGGCTATCTCTTTTTCACTTAGGTATTTTTCTGGAGCTTTCATCTTTTCTTTCATTTGGGCCATTATTTATTTATTTATTTTTGTCTTGGGGCTCCTGTTACGTAGTAAGGGGCAGAGGCTTAGGTGTTAACCAGGGCGGGGCAACCCCTGTCACTGTGTCATGACGCTGTAAATGGGGGAGGGGTCCGAGAGGGAACAATGATGCTTGCTCTGCTCTCTGTTGGCTTTCAGTCACTTCCCCTGCTTCCCACAAAGTGGGCCTTCTGGTGCCGATTCCTGTGTGGGTGGGTTTGTGCACATTCTAGGACCCTGTGGATCTCTCCAACAAATTCTCCTATGAGGCTGGGAGTTTCTCCCACTGCCTCAACCCTCACAGGTGTTTTCAGTCTGAGGTTTTGAGGCTTTATTTCCCTGTGCATGAACCCTGCGTTATGTGGTCTGTCTCACTCCCCAGTTGTTTCTTCCAGTTTATCCACACGTGAATGTAGGACCTGTCCACCAGCCGCTGCCTTGCTGGGTCCTCCACTGCTGCTTTGCCACTAGCCCTCTCTGCCCAGCTGCCTGTCTCCACCCCTCCTACCAGTGTGGATGAATATTTCTTCTTTAACTCCTTGGTTGTTGGACTGCCATACAGTTCGATTTTCTGTCAGTTCTGGTTGTTTTTTGTGTTTAAATTTGTTGTTGTCCATCTTTTGGTTGTGAGAGGAGGCACAATGTATCTTCCTATGTCTCCTTCTTGACCGGAAGTTCTCATTTTCATTAATTTTTTATGTAATCAAAGGTTGAATCAGCACCATACGTCTGCTTTTCTCAGGATGCACGTGGCAACCCAGGGATACACATGTAATCATATATGTGCATATGTTTTGAATTTGATTCCATCCTCATTTGAAGCAATTTTCAAACTTCTCTGCTCACTTAACGAAAGGTACAGTGGCTGTGAGCAGTGGTATATTGTTTTAGTGGACTAGCTTTACTTTTGGTTAAATTAATTGAATTACATATTTAAACGGGTATAATTTTCTCTTCAGCAGACAAAATTGTCAAATCTGAATTTACTTTCAATGAACAAAGAAACCTTTTAAAACATGAAGGAGAAAAATGGCTTCTGCTAATTTAGAAATGCATCAATTGTATTTGAGAATCTTGAGCCAAAGAAAACATATTCTTTTATATTTTTAAGAGCCTGTTTATTTTAAACAAAATTTAGACAGTTGAATTAGTGTAATGTCATCTTAAGGAGGGAAATTATTGAGTAATTATATGTTTAACAAAATATAATTTATTTTGAGGGGTATGTTATCCAGTTTTTTGTGCCTGGGTTTACTTGGAAAGTGTGTGGAGAAGTGAAAATAATTTTCTTTGATATATCTCAGTTGAACTGAGATTTTTTTTTAAAGATTTTATTTATTTATTTTTAGAGAGGGAAGGGAGGGGGAGAGAGAGAGAGAGAGAGAAACATCAATGTGCGGTTGCTGGGGGTTATGGCCTGCAACCCAGGAATGTACCCTGGCTGGGAATTGAACCTGCGACACTTTGGTTCGCAGCCCGCGCTCAATCCACTGAGCTATGCCAGCCAGGGAGATTTTTATGAATAGTTAAGGTTGAGAGAAGTGGTAAAATGGTTTTAATGATATAAAAAAATCAAAGTGTTTGATTGAATAGAAAATTTTCATCTTTTATTTCATGGACATGTAATGTTTAAGTTTGAATAAAGAAAATGAAAAGGATTATAAATCATAATTGATAGGTGATCTTTTAAGATATTAAAAGCAGTTCAAATATTAAAAAAGAAATGAATGAAGTCATGTAGGCGATCATGCTCTAGACTAGTATTATTGAAACTATCATCTTGGAAACTACACTGTTTATTTAATACAAGACTACATAGAATATGAACCCTCACCACCACAGTAATTCTAGTTTTTAAGATGTCACATGATACTATAACTTTGAAGATATCATTCAAGGTTATGAAATCACCATACACTTTAGCTTTATAAAACATAAGTGTTCTAAAGTTTCTTTATTTAAAAAACTAATTGAAATGCCATCTTTTTATTCTATTAAACCAGACACAAATATGCACATCTTTTGGGTTGTGTTATTTGTATAATTGATCCTGAAGTTGATAATAGTTCAGATGTTTTGCCTGAGGGAATGGTTAGACTACTCATGATCAGGGAGTTTGTGAAAGTCTGTTTTATTTTACTTAACATTTTATTATGCAAATTTAAAAAATACAGAAAATGTGAAAGAATTTTTATAGCAACTCTCCACCACTTTTTACAGCATACCTACCACTTAGATTCTATAACTAACATTTAACTGTATTAGATTTACCACAGTTCTATCCATCTAGCCAACCCCCTGTTCACCATTAACCCATCTTATTTTTTGATGCATTTTAAAGATGGTTGCAGACATCAGTATACTTCCCCTCAAGCACTTCAGCATATATATAAAGCATTAACTAGAGATGGGATAACCTTTTGATAGCAGAAGAGTTAAAAATCACATTGTCTAGAGAGGAAAATAAAATTCTTGTATCCTTAAGAAAAATGATAATGTTACAATGTGGACACTTGAATGAATTTCAGTGTTTTCTAGCTAAAACTCAAACAAATAAAGATGAATTGGTGACATAGCTTATGATGAGGGTAAAAGTCAAATCTCTAAACCCTTAAACTTTCACCAGCAGAAGGTAGGCTTTCAAGTCATTCATTCCCAAGACAGGTGTTTTCTGTACAGCCCAGCTGTGATACGGCTCAGAGCTCTCCCTCTGTCTCTGTCTCTGTCTCCCTCTGTGTTGCACTCTCGCGTGCGCGCTCTCTCTCTCTGTTAAACTCAGTCAAATCCTGATGGAGGCAAAGAAATAGAAATTCCTACATGCAAAGGCAGATTATTAGCTGACCTGGCAGTTGTTTCAGATTTCTGGATAATCTACTAACCAGCCACTTAACTCCCAAGTGAGAGGCTGCTACAGGCTAGGTCTAAGATTTTCTAGAGATCCAGTGCCAGAGAAAGTAGAGTTCTCAGCCTTTGCACTACCAAAATGTAATGGGGGAGAAGCACGTGATAAGGGATTTGTTGATTTGGCCTCTCTATATTCTAAACACATCAGGACCAGTCTGCACTTAGGAGAAAATATTTAATGAGCCTTGAGAATGTTGAGAGGCAAATCATCTTGATATCCATTTTGCTAATCTGACCAGACTGCATGTATAGAATTTTCTCAGTGGATTGAACATTGAGTGAATTTCACAGAAATTGAATTTTCAGTTCTAGACTTCCATTCAGTAGTGAGCCGTGACCATCTCTGTTCACTGTTGAAGATGGTAAAATTCTTCCTTTCTGGTTGGTGTTTGATTTTTAAAAATAAAGTCTTGCCTTTTTCTGGCTTGTGATCAGGTAAGACAAAATGGCTCTGTTTGGCCCTGACCGACACCAGAAACTCTCCCAGAAGCTGAGGATTCAAAACAGTGGTTCCTGCCTCCTGCTGTTCATTGAAGTAACCTCCCACCTCCTCCCATCTTTCCCATCCAGTCCCACTGCCGAGATGAGGATTGTAGCTACTGATGAAGCCCTAGGTAAGGGGAGGTGGGGGCTTGTGGCATTGACCTTGCTCTGGGGGGCCTGAGAGAGGGGACTCTCTCTCTGAAGTAATAATCAATAAAGGGAGGCTGGGGCCATTGCCAACCACTGTCTAAGTAGGCAGGGGCTTGAGGAGCAACATCTGAATCAATGGTGGGGGGAAAGGAAGGGCATCCAGGGTTTCCCTCTCCTGCTAGATAGGCCCCAAATATTGGCAGGGCCCAGGTCAAAGTGCAAACGGAAGTTCTGTATACCTTACACCTAAACATTTAGGAGTTAGTAGCATTTAACATTTAACACCATGTTCAATAAAATGCTATAGTCTCTACCTCAACAATGATATTTTCACAAAGACCTGGAAGGCCAGGTTTGGATTCAGAACTCCTGGTCTACTCAGAGATCTGAGCTTGAACACGGCAGCACGGGAGGATCAATTTCCTGACACAGGCTGCAGGCTGCTCCTCTTCCCTCCCGCCCCCAGGCTCGGCCCCCACACCTTCACCTTCCTGGGCAAGGTCCAGCCACAGACCCACACACAGCAGCTCCACGGTTGTCCCTCAGGTCAAGAATGTAGACATACTGGGTGTAGTGTGTTCTTGGGGACACAGGCTCCTGGGTGGACATTTTCTTGGCCCACAGATCCCTCACCTAGAGGCAGGGAGGTAGCCAGATGATGGCCAGAGTGGGACACTTCGCAGGGTGGGATCCTCTTGCCCCATCAAAGGAGCTCCCACGTGTTTTCAGAGGAATCTTACTTCTTAAAAGAGTGATAGCGGTGGGGGCTAGTATCCTCAACAAGTGTATGTTGGTTGGCTTGGGTGTAGACAGAGAGTGAAAGAATAAGTCAGGAGAAGTGCAGGGAAAGAGGGAAGGAAAAAACAGGGAAAGAAGAAAAAACTCTCTTATGAGCTTTTATGCTCTCACACACATACACACCTCACAAAAACTTACTGATTCTTCAGATGGGGCCTTGGAAGTGTGGCCTACTATCGGAAACTAACAGGGCAGGGTGCTAGCAGCAGCCCAGTTCAGTACGAATAATGTGGTGGGCGGCGTGCATGGGCGGGCATTAGTGCGGCATGGAGCGACTGAAGAAACATGAGGTCTGAAGTCAGACCACCTATTGGAAACCCTACCCCACCACTTACTTGCTGAATGACCTGGGGCAAGGTATTTCACTGTGCTAAAATTCCTTACCTGTAAAATGAACTTAATAGTAGTACCTCTCACACAGAACTGTAGTGAAGTTTAAATTACATTAAACCATCCATGCGGAGTAGATGCACTTGAACATCTACTCAGTACTAGTTCTCCATTTCTCCCTTGCAGATGGATCACAGTTTTGTTTGAGGATCTGCAGACCCACAGGCTCAAGGTAGCAGGGCTCCATCTCCAGGGCCAGGGAGGCCAATTAAAGTGATTTTTCTCCTTTTTCCAGAGATAAACAGGAAATGACTTCTTCTACTGCTGCGTCTGTGTTGTGAAGTTGGGAGCGGTGGCAGCCATTCTGGAACCATGAAGGAACTTGGCTAAGGATGAGCTAACCCACTGAGAATGGCAGAGTGGAAAGGAGAGAAGAACCTGAGTGCCCACGACACTGTTTAGCCACTAAATTACCCAAACCCAAAGATGTTTCACCTCTGGTCTTTTTGTAATCAGAAATAATAAATGTCCTTGTTGTTTAAGCTAGTTTAAATTGGGTTCTGTATAAATTCAGCCCAAAGCATCCGAAGGCCACACCACTACAGAGAACCTTTTGTACATAGCGAAGGTGCGATTATGAAGCTCAGTCAGTAAAAAGTGCATCAGACTTAGAAGCAGGAGACCCAGTTCTAGGGCCAGTTTCTGGGCCAGAATTTGGTTTCATTGGCTGCTACTCATTACTGCTGCTAGTGTTGTTTCTCTCATCTTCCGGCCTCTTGAATCTTGCTTTTCTTGGCCCGTGGTACTGACTGGAGTTTTCCTACCTGAGCGGATTGACCTAAGCAATCTTTCCTGCTCAGATCTTTCTTGCAGTATTCCCAGCTGCACCTCTGTGCCCCAGAATTGCATCCCTCACCTGCTATACCTTCGTTTCCTTTCGGAGCAGTCCTGCCCTCCTCCCAAGTGCATGCCTCCACACCAGCTGTGCTTATTCTGTTTCTGTCTGAGTAAAACCAGAGGGCAGCATCACATTCTTGAATCACACTTTGAACTTCTTTCTAAACTAAGCATGAGAATGGGGAGCTAGGAACTGACTCCTACACCTCCCAATACTTACAGGCTCTAGAATAATGGTTTACATCTGGGACTGGGGGAAGAGGATGGCAATTTCCCCCCCTAGGGGTCATTTGGCTATGTCTGGGGACATTTTTTGGTTATAAGAACTAGGGGGTGCTGCTGACAGATACAGAAGCTGGGGAGACTGCTGAACATCCTACAATGTGCAGGGCAGCCCCTCAAACAAAGAATTATCTGGTCCAAAATGTCAATAGTGCTGAAACTGAGAAACCTTCCACTATAACAATGAAAATATTTAGAAATGCATCACATTCAATGTATCCACTGCTCGGTGGCCTCCTCACCACCAGCAATCCCACACCCTTCTGCTGAATTGCTCTTTTATATTCTGTGCTGCTCAGACACAAGGGGAGGCCTCTCGGTACTCCGGGTATCACTTATCTGCTGTCCTTCCTCTGGACCTGTCTTGGTTTTTAAAAAGGATTGTATGAATAATGAAAGCTTACTTTGGGGACAAGAGCCTTTTGATCTTCCAGGCCTTTTCCTGTTTCCTGGAGGATTTTGCACTCTCCTTCCTGCTCTTCAGCCTAATTCTAAAACCATATAACTGAGTCCTTAATCAAATGCTCTTTGTAATTTTAGGAGATTGTAGCCTTAGGAAACAAGACCATAATCTTAGATTGATGCTGCCCCTGTTAAGGTTCAAATTTACAGTCTGCTCTGCTTTTGCAAGAGCCTAACATCTTAGCAGCGAGGGTGGCCTTCATCCATCATTTCAGTGGAACTTTATTTTTGCAGAATTTCCTTTCAAGATGGTAGATTATTGTACATTCTGGGGCAGAAGGCAAGAGAAGAAAGCCCATCGCTGGTAGAAAAAGGAAATAGCAGGTCTGATCTCTCAGGGGTAAAATGAGAGGTTGAATCAGATCACGGAGTGTTTTGCTTCACTGGATTAACTCAGGACACTTTATCAAGTGGCCCCCAAGCCTTGAAACTTTGTAGCTCTAAAAGAGGAGAGGTCACCGCTCCCACACGAGAAGAAACAGCAACCTGTGCCATGAAGGATTATGGGGCTCTGGGGGCCAGAAGGTCAAAAGTGGGGGCTTAACCTTTATGTTCCATAAGATGGGAAGCTGCCTCTGTAACTATGGCCTCCGATTTTACAGTGATTTAGGATTTCCCAAAGAGATTTCACCCACATCATGATTCCATTTGCTCCCCTCACAGCAGCCCCGTGTGGGAGGCACGTCAAGTATTACTGCCAGCATCGGGCAGAGAGGAACGAGAAGTTACGAAGACTGAGTGACTTACTTAAGACAAACAGAACTGAGAGCTGTAATAACTCGCCGAGAGATACATGACTTTTGGACATAACCAAATGTTTCAGATCTTCCTCAGAATAGTTAAAATTTAAAACAACATGTTCTTTATCCCCAAAATGTTCCTTTATCAGATAACAAGTCTTAATTTTTGATTCAGAATATGCAGTCAGTGGAATGTTTGAGCTGAGGGGGCCAAGTAGAATTTCCTTTATTTCTTCATTTAGCCACCGTTGATTATTGTGCACGTGTTGTATCTGTAGTTTTGTACCAGGGGCCAGAGAGGGAGGGAGGCAATGATGAATAAGACGTAAAGTGTGGGTCTTTGCCCTCAAGTTGCTCACGGTCCTCTGGAGGGTGCAGACGTGCGACCACCAGCAGTCACATAGGCAGGAGGACTCAAAGGTGGGGGAAATCCTAGTTTTGGAACTAGAGTGAAGGGAGCAATTTATTCTGCCTGTCAGAGAGTGGGGGGAAAGGTTTGAGGAGGGTTAGCATGTAAACTGAGTCTTAAAAAACCCAGCACTCTGAAAATCAGTGAAGATAAGTATATCACAGGGAAGGAAGAAATACTGAGTTCAAACTTGCAATCTTCCTGGTGAAGATTCACCCAAAGTTCTAAGTGTAATTTAGGTGCTGTTATCTCCTATCATTGTCTGACAACATCTTAGACATTAAATCTGGTGGCTCGTTAAGGTCAGGGAAGCGTTTTGTCTCTTTTCCTTCTCAGAAACGAGTGTGCCCTCTACTTAAGGAGTGAGTGGGTTTTACAAGGGAGTGTCATGTCCCTTCTCATTTCAGTTTTCAAAGTCCGTGCAACCTTGATCGTTTACCTCTTCTGTATCTTCTTCCTTGCATAACTCAGTCGAATGTATCTAGATATAGATATACAACACACACATTGTTTCTTTGTACCAGGCACTGGAAACATATCATTCCTTAATCTTCAGATGTCCATGAGGTAGGTGGTATTATTGTTTCAATTTTATAGTGAAGAAAACTAAGGTTCGTTGAAGTAAATTAATTTGGTCAAAACCACACAGACGTGAAGTGAGAGACACAGGATTGAAAGGTCTCTGTTTCACTCAAAGCCCTACTGTGTTTATTACACTGTGGCAGAGACTGATCCTCGTTCCCCAGAATTCATTCTCTTTTTCTTCCTTCTGGCACTATAACTGCCTCCCTTCCACCCCACAATATGTCATCAGAGCCCGTGGCCTCCCAGCTCAGGATTTACATGGGCAGTGGAGGTCCCCGGATTGACACTTACTGCTGATCAGGAGACAAAAACCACCCTAAGTGAGAGTCAGACATATCATTGAAGAGTGACTTGTTCTAAGAAGAGCTGTTGCTTGGTGGATCTACTCTCTAATTGCAACCCATCTTCCAAGTTTTAAGCCCCTGGGACCTGCTGCATTGCTCTGACTGTTGTTCGCAGACCACCAGGAAGGTAGCATGAATGGGTCGTCTAGATAATGAGAAACCAAACCACGAACGGAAATTTTGTCATCATTGGGAATTATACGGACTCCTTTGATCAGCTGATGAAACTGACAGAAAAATGCACATTTTCACACATCATTTTGCACATTTCAGGGCTGTCCATGGAACTCCATGGAGCCCATCCATAAATATCCAGGTTCATTACCATGCATCTGTGGCTGGTTGGCAGTAGTGTGTTTGCATAATTGGATATTATCATGCACTAAGTTGGAGCTCCCTTGAGGACAAGAGTTATAATGTGTTGGCTTGGTGAAATCCTATGTAATAGGTGTTTTATGAGATGTATAGAGAATCAAATATCACAGGCTTGATTTTTCCGTTGGGTTTAAAGGTTTCCAGTCAGAATACTTTATTTTTAGAAATATTTAGAAGACGAGGTGAGAAATCGAAAGGGAGGAACATGGTAGGGACTCAAGGTCCAGGACTTCTCAGTTCCCTCCATACGTGAATCATTTAATAGCTTGTAAATGATTTAGCAGCTGGTCACTGGTCCCGGAATAAGTCTTTTTATAGGCAAGAAGCCTGTGTCTTTTTCACTGTTTAGAAGATCCAGCCTAAAATTGGGGTAATTCTTTGAGCTGTCTAATTTTCTTACTGGTATAAAGTTTCTTAACTTGATCTCAGAAAAACAAAACACGCAAACAGAAAACCCCACTGTTTTCTCCCTTCTGTGGCAGAGACTGGGAATTGTTTCCCAACGCCGGCTCTCTCCTCCTCAGAGAGAACTTGAGGGTGCTGGCTGGCACAGCCTGCCGGAGTAAGGACATTTTCCAGCCTCCTTTGTAGCTGGGTGTGGCTACCTGACTAAATTCTGGTGGGTAGGATGTAAGAGATCTATATAATAGGAACTGTAATTAATTACTGGTGGGGGTGGGGGCTGTTCTTCTCTTGTTCCTTCCCCGCTTCCTGCTGGTTGAAATGTAAACGTGAGGAAGAGCCATGCTGGACCACAAGGTCCAGGTGCAGTTGAAGATGAAACCCGAACGACGCAGCAGCCTGGGTCCCTGGCAGTGTGGTGCCATCCCACTGGTCCTAAACTGTATTGTGTTCCCTGAGAACACCCCCATAGTTGGAGACTTGTTAGAAGGACTCGCAGGACTCGGCAGACAGCTGTGCTCATCGCTAAGATTTATTTCAGCCAGGTAGTGAGAGATGCACAGCTGGACCATAAGGGAGAGGCACCGGTGGAGCCCGGAGGAATCCATGTGCAGGTTTCCCTGCACCCTCTGTCTCCTGGGGGGGTCACACAGAACCCCCCCTTCCCTCAGCAACAAAAACACAGCAACATGGGTGATGTGTCTACACAGGGAAACCCATTAGAGCTCAGCGCCCAGCTGGGAGCTGGTCACACTAGGCACACTCTGCCAAAATTCTCACAGGGAAAGCAAGCAAATAGTCCAGGTACTGTGCTCAGTGGGATACGATCCTTGATCTCAGTTTCAGAAAGCAACGCCCCACTGTTCTCCTACCTTCTGTGGCAGAGATTGCTTGCTAGCTGTTCCCTGATATCAGCTTGTCATTGACTCAGGACACCGCAAGAGCCAAGATCACAGGTGCCAGCGCAGGGCTGACCTTGCCGGCAG